ATCAACTCCATTTTCTATGACGAGATGTGATGATCCATTCTCCCATTTTACGTAATTTCGATGGGTAACTAGTACATTTATGAAAATATATTCACAGTATCCTCACGAGTAGGAAATCTTTATTATTTCATGAAGATGTGTCAATTCCAATTACTGAAATTTAGATTGATCAAGCTAATATAATCCATATACCAACGGAATCCATAAAATTGGAAGCTATGATAAAAAGTCAGTTAACTAACAGGAATATTCTGTCGAGAAAGTATGTGCAGACGTACAATATATATATGCCCATATATTCTGTACGTGCCTGTGTATGTCTGTGTGCGTATATACATGTACTTGTAGATCAGATTATTATAATATATTATCCTTTTCCTCACAGACACTGATTCTGTCTCTAAAATATTTTTTTTTCCACCCCAGCTTTCTCATCCTCCTCTCACCCTATCTCTCATTCAAAATCCCTCCTCCGAGTTCACACTCTCTCCCTTTCTCCTCATGTACCTTTCTATCTAAGTGCATCTTTCTCTTTTTCTACCTCTGATATTTGCATATAAAGATAAATATATCCTCACAGTTTTTACCGTATAGGCCTTATGTACCCCCACTCATTTTACTACCAGTCGATATGTGTTTTTGCCAAGTTCCATGTAATATTCCTGAGTCAGGGGCCAATTTTTTATTCAAAAATAGAATGGGAAAATATTACTAGGCGCGGGTGCAATCACATTAGTGTATGCAACAATATGTAGTCTTCTCAGAAGAATCGATTTACTTATCAAATGTGATTTAACTGTACTTTTATTATAAATTTTGTATATCAGAAATATCTGGTTGCATGTTTCATAGTCTCTTCTACCTGGAAATCTCTATAAGTACTATCATAGGCGTTTATGCATTTAATGTACGCATATTACCGCCTTGGATTGGTATACATTAGTTTTATAATACACACACACACACACACACACACACACACACACACACACACACACATACACGCACACACACACACACACACACACACACACACACACACACATATATATATATATATATATATATATATATATATATATATATATATGTACATATATATGTATATATATATATATATACATATATATATATATATATATATATATATATATATATATATATATATATATGTGTGTGTGTGTGTGTGTGTGTGTGTGTGTGTATGTGTGTGTGTGTGTGTGTGTGTGTGTGTGTGTGTATGCGTGCGAGTATGTGTGTGCGAGTATGTGTGTGTGTGTGTGTGTGTGTGTGTGTGTGTGTGTGTGTGTGTGTGTGTGTGTGTGTGTGTGTGTGTGTGTGTGTGTGTGTTAAACCTCAGGTGGGCTGTCAGGGTGGGGGTTGCGACAGGACAATCGCTTGCCACTTCTGTGCATCTGTGACAGACAGATGTCCTCGGTAGATATTCGTATTGTTCTGGGTAACTACAATGCGGTACCTGGCTGCGACCGAGCTGGCTATGAGATGTCTGTCGGTCCTCATGGCTCAGGAACTGATGCTGGCAGTGAGAATAGCCTCCTTTTCCGGGATTTTGCTAGATCCCAGAAATTGAGGATTTCTGGCTCTCGGTAACAGCGTTCTGACCAGCATCGTTGGACTTGGTACAGCGATACGGGTAATGTGGCCAAGGAGATCGACCACATCCTTGTTAGCATTCCCTGGAGGATACTCCAGAACAGCAGGGTGCATCGGAGCGCAGAGTTCTGTGGAACTGATCCTAGATTACTCTCCGGGTCCACTTCAGAACACCCCGTCGCTCCAGTGAACACTCTAGAGTGTTTCAATGTCTGGGGATTTGCCGAAGCTATCTCTGGTCATTTCACAGCACTCGGGAGCCTGATGGACTCTGTTCTTATATGGGAAACCTTTAAGCGTGAAACGCTCAATACAGCCCAAGAATCGATTGGTGAATGCCCAAGAGAAAGACAGAATTTCATTTCGCAGGAGACATTGGAAGCCACCGATACTTGCCGTGCGGCTAGATTGTAAGGGGTTCGCGACTTGCACTGTTCCCTGGTGTACAGGACTAGGTCACTGTTAAGAAGGGACAAGGAACAGTTAATCAGGAATCTTGCAGAGGAGGTCGAAGCCATTTCCTAGTAAAAGACCTTCGTCCTGCCTACCAAGCCCTGAGAAAACTGAACTCCAAGCCTCACAGACGACTGCAGTCTACTCAGCAATTGACCAGATGATCTCAGATATTGTTGGAGTATTTTGAGCATTTGTACCAGGTTCATCCACCAACAATTAACTTTGCTAGACCCACCCAGCAACGAGGATCCACCCTTCCTGACTGAAGTCAGGGGGCTGATCTCCAAGCTGAAGAGTGATAAAGCAGTGGGTATCTGCAGCATCCCAGCTGAACTGTTAAAGACTGGTGGAGAACCTATGGCAAGGGGCTTACATGCTGTCCTGTCTGCCATCTAGCAGACTGGTACCATTCCCCCTGACCTGCTGAGGGGGGTGGTCAGAGGCCGGAGCAATTTGGATTCACTCCTGGTATGTCCACAATGGACTGTATCCTGGCGCTTCAAGTCATTGTATAGCACTGACGTGAGTTCGGGCATGGGCTGCTTGCAACTTACATTGACCTCAAGAATATGTTTGATACAGTGCATTGTGAATCACTCTGGGAGATCCCTAGACTAAGAGGAATTCCAACAAGGATAGGCCGGGCCCCTGCCTGGCGGCTCGCCATGAGGGACCCTCGTAGGTGGAGGGTGGATGCAAAAATGCGCCCCCGTCGGCGTTAGCTCCCTAATGATGATGATGACGATAATGATGATGACATATACATACATATATGTATATATATATATATATATATATATATATATATATATATATATATATACATACACACATACATACATATTTAAATGTATATACATATACACGTATATACATACACTTATGTAGATATATATATATATATATATATATATATATATATATATATATATATATATATATAAATTTATTCATATATAAACATATATATGAATAAATGAATATATATATAATATACATATACATATATATATATATATATATATATATATATATATATATATATATATATATATATATACACACATTAATTTATTTATAGACACAAACACACTCAAACACACACACACACATATATGTATATATATATATATATATATATATATATATATATATATATATATATATATATATATATGTATATGTATATGTATATGTATATGTATATATGTATATATATATATATATATATATATATATATATATATATATATATATATATATATATATATGTATATATGTATATATATATATATATATATATATATATATATATATATATATATATATATATATATATATTTATATACATATATATATATATATATATATACATATACACATACATACATACATACATACATACATACACACGCACACACACCACACAAACACACACACACTTCGTCAGAAATACATTGTATTTCTGACGAAGATATAATTCGAAACCGGTCAAATACATCTCTTGTATTATGAAGATACTCATTCTCATTCATACCTTATCTACATTTGTCAACATGAATACAGTTCATATATGTATATATATATATATATATATATATATATATATATATATATATATATATATATATATATAGAGATATAGAGAGAGAGAGAGAGAGAGAGAGAGAGAGAGAGAGAGAGAGAGAGAGACAGACAGAGAGAGAAAGAAAGAAAGAAAAAGAGAGAAAAAAAAAGAGAGAAAGAGAGGGAAAGTGAGAGAGGGAGAGAATGAGAGATAGAAAGTGATAGAAAGGGAGAGAAAAGAGAGAAAAAATAACAGAAAGAGAAAAGAGAGAGACACTGAGAGAAAGATACAACAAATCTATCACTTTACAACACCTACCACCACACCTCCCCCCCCCCCCCCTTTAAGCAGCAAAATACCAACGCCTCTAAATCCACGCCAACGCAGACCGTTCACAGTCACAAGCACAATGCTGGCGGTGATCTCGTCTGACGTTGAAGAGCGATCTACATGTTAAGAATCCCCGAGCGACAACCTGCATGTACAACTGTAGCCGTAAGTGGTTCCTGCAAGTACACGCAAGACTATAACTAAAATTTATGGTGACCAGGAGCTCGCCTCCTCCTTCCCACTTATTTCTCTTCCTCTCTCTCTCTCTCTCTTTCTTATTCTCTCTCTCGCTTTCATTCTCTCTCTCTTTCTCTCTCTCTCTCTTGATCCTTCTCTTTTTGTCTGTCTGTCTCTTATTCTCTCTAAATTCTCTCTCTCTCTCTCTCTCTCTCTCTCTCTCTCTCTCTCTCTCTCTCTCTTCTCATCTGCGTTAGCTTCTCATTGATTTTTTTCGACTTACTTTCTTAATTTCATTTCTATTTTACTTTCAACCCTATTTCGCCTCAGTAATCGTTTTTTTTCTCCATTTTCTTTTCTTTAGCTTTCCTTTCCATAATTCCTTCGTTATCTCCTCGGCTGTATCTTCCTCCTTTCCTTTCTTCCTCACCATCCCCATACCCCGGCATCATGTGAGAGGGGGGGGGGGGAAGGGGGGGAAGTCGCACACGGATAATCAAGTTAACCCCTTGGATTACACCTCCCCCCTCCCCCCCTACCCCTTTATCTCTTACAGTCTAACCTTCCCCCCTCCCCTTCCCCCATCCCCCTCCCCCCCTTCCTCCCAACCCCTAACCCCATACACTTAAACCCCCCTCCCCCCTCCCCCCCACCCCCCTAAAAGCGAGGATAAACCCCAAGAGGACGAGCTTTAAGCTTAACTCGGACTTAATTTTCTTCCAGGAAGATTAAAAGTTAGACAAAGAGCCCCGGCAACGTTGTTACGGAGGGCGTGCTTGGTGCCCCGGGGGAGAGAGTGCCGGCGTGAGGCACACGCGCCCAAATTAAGAGTCTTGGCCCCGGGATGTGACGCATG